GGCTGGGCTGGGTTTGGCTGGGCTGGGTTTGGTTGTCCTACTCCTTCTCCTCCTTCTCCTCTTTCTTCGCCTTCTTTTTCTTCTCTCTTCTTTTTCTTCCTCTCCTTTTCCAAACCTTCCTCCCTCCTCCTCCTCCTTCTCCTCCTTCTCCTCCTCTGTCTCCGTGTCCTGCCAGAGCTGGGATTTGCTCCGTTGTTTTCCCGGAGCCCCTTTGGGCTCTGGGAATGTTCCTTCCCGGCTTCCTGGATCCTCCCAAACCCCCTGGGCCATCCAAATCCAGAGGGAAGGGGACCGGAGCCGTCGGGAGGGATTTTCCCAGCTCCACAGGCTCTGGCTTGGGATCTCATCCTGGTTTTCTCCATCCCAGCCACGGACATCCCCGAGCTCCAGGAGGCCCTGGAGAACGACCCGGTGAGACATCGGGGCCCCATCCCAAACCTCACCTCTCCTTTCCCTTTTCCCATCCCGGTATTCCTGTTTTTTCCTCAATTCCCGTGAATTCCCACATCCCACCAGGCACGGTTCTGCCCCATCCCACTGCTCTGTAGGGATGGATTCCCCGTTTTTCACGGGGAATTCCATGACTGCCGCACCGACCGAGGGAGCAGCGCCCAGATCCAGCCCAAATCTTCCGTGCCTCAGTTTCCCCATTCCTGAGACTGTTCCCACCCCTCCGCTGGGATCCGAGTCCGCCCTAACTCCGCGCTCTTCCCGCAGGAAGAGGATCCGATTCATCCCAAAACCCGGAGCGTCTCCCCCAGCCTCGAGGAGATCCACCTGGAGCAGGTGAGGCCCGTCCCATCCGGGTGGGATCCGGAGGGAATTCCCAATCCCATCAATCCCACTTTTCCAGCCTCTCCCGCACCCCTGGAACAAGCGGCCGGCTCTCTGCATGGAGAGGGGCAGCCAGATGTCTCCCAAAATCCTGAAGCTGGAATGTGACCAAGAGCCGGGCCCCAGCCATCCCAAATCCTGCTGGGAATTCCGGACGGAGCCCAGCCCCTCCACGTCGTGGCACAACCACGTCAGGGACAGTGACCCAGGTGGGGACCGGGAACGACAGCGGACTTGTTATCCCGTTTTTCCCGGGATCCGTGGGATCGCTCCCGGCCTTCCTGAGCCCCCATTGCTTGGGAACTTTGGCCAAGGATGGGGATGCAAGTGATCTGTGGGGTGGGGGATCCATGGGATGAAAGATCCATGGGATGAAGGATCCATGGAGTGAAGGATCCATGGGATGAAGGATCCATGGAGTGAAGGATCCATGGGATGAAGGATCCATGGAGTGAAGGATCCATGGAATGAAGGATCCATGGGGATGAGGGATCCATGGAATTCAGGATCCACAGAATGAAGGATCCATGGGGATGAGGAATCCATGGAATGAAGGATCCATGGAATGAAGGATCCATGGGGATGAGGGATCCGTGGAATTCAGGATCCATGGGATGAAGGATCCATGGGAATGAGGGATCCATGGAATTCAGGATCCATGGGATGAAGGATCCATGGGGATGAAGGATCCATGGAATTCAGGATCCATAAAATTCAGGATCCATGGAGTCACCACCATTCCCAGGGTTGCCCCCAAGCTCTGTTTGGTTCCTGGTGCAAAACTCGGGAGCGCTGATCCAATGGGATCTGGGATTTTGGGATTTTCCTTGCAGAGGGTGGGAGCATCATCGTCATCTGCAGCTCGGACGACAGCGATGAGGACACCACGGTGGTGACGGTGACACCGGAGCTGCCTCCATGCTGACACCCCCTGGAACCATTCTGCTTCATCCTGGAATTCCCAGATTCCTGCTTGGGCTTTCCTCTTCTTGCCCGATCCCAATTTTATCGCTGGACCGAGCTTCCAGTGCTCTGGAAGATCTGTAAATCCCGCCTGGATCTGCTGGGACCTCCCCTTTGGGGTTTCCTGGGAATGATGTTCTCCTCTTCAGTCCCATCCGGCTCGATCCCAAAATCCAATCCAGGATGGGATTTGGGATCCATGCTGGCGGATCCTGTTCCCGAGCCCCCCTCAAATGTGGGGAGATGATCCCAAGGGTGGGATCCCCTCTGGGATCCCCCATCAGTACCTGGAGCAGGGAATTCCTTAGGATCACGATCAGGATTGGGATTGGGACTGGGATTGGGACTGGGATTGGGATCAGGTTTTCCAATGTAACAAGGGATTAAAATCCCATTTTTTTTAATGCCTCCCCTCAATAAAGCCATTCCAGGATAAAATTCCAGCCCTGCTGTAATTTCCCAGCTTCCTCCACCGGTTCTTCCCGCCCTGCTTTTTCCAATTCATCCTGAGCAGAGGAAAAACCGGGAATAATTAATGGGATAAAACCCATCTGTCCCGCTCCCTGCTGATCCCGGGGTTTTGGGGATGGGAGATCCCAGGGATCCAATCCCAACATTCCTTGAGTGGCGGAGCCTGTTCCAGCCTCATTATCACAAATCTGGGAATTCCCATTCCCCAGGCCGAGGGTGCGGGATTGTCCTGAGGGAAAACAGGGAATGAGTTCGGGGCTCTGCTTTTATCCCAGATCCTGATTTTTGGGACACCCTCAGCTCCAGGAATGTTTTCCATGGATTGAATTCCCGTTCCTCGCTCCCAAGGCTGCTCTCATCCCCATCCCATCCTTTCTGCCACCTTTTCCAGGATTTTGGGGACATGGGGACATCGCCCCGGGGGTGGCACCTGGACCTGTCCCCGGCCCGGCCCTTGGGTGTCCCAGGGGTGTCCCCAGGGGTATCCCAGGTGTCCCCAGGGGTGTCCCCAGGTGTCCCCAGGGGTGGCACTGGGTGCCGGGCTCGGGCGGTGTCGCCGAGCGGGGCTGGTTGTGACAGGGCAGTGCCACCAGCAGGGGTCCCCTGAGCACAGCGGCTGGAGCTGCTGGGGACACTGCTGGGGACACTGCTGGGGACACTGCTGGGGACACTGCTGGGGACACTGGGGACACTGCTGGCGACACTGCTGGGGACACTGCTGGGGACACTGGGGACGCTGCTGGGGACACTGGGGACACTACCACGTGTGACACTCGGTGCCATCGGTGCCATTGGTGTCATCAGTGTCATCGGTCCCCACACCCCCCCCCCTCCGCTGTCCCTTGGTTCCCCCCTGCTGGATCTGGAGCGGGGGAGGGGAGGGAGGGGAGCGATCCCAAAGGATCCAGGACGTTATTCCAGATCCATCAGTGATCCCAAAGGATCCAGGACGTTATTCCCGATCCATCAGTGATCCCAAAGGATCCAGGACGTTATTCCAGATCCATCGGTGATCCCAAAGGATCCAGGATGTTATTCCCGGAGTCACTGGGCTATGGGATCGGGATCAGCTTTTCCCTGCCCCAATCCCGCCCCAAAGCTCATCCATCCCAAAAAATGGGGCTGGCACTTCCAGGGGGGCAGAACAGCTCCCAAAAACCCCAAATCCTGGGAAAAGGGGGTCTCAAAACTCCACAAAAATCCCACTGTCCCAAATTTCCCTTCCATGCTGGGAAAATCCCGTTGTTCCGGGAGGAGCAGAAGCCTCTCCGGGTGTTTTCGGGGCCGTTGGGGCTCTGCTGGAACGCTGTTGATGATCCCGATGGGATGCGATCAAAAATTCACAGCCACATCCATCAATTCCTAAAGCAACGCCGGGAAAAGGGATGGGAGCAGGAGAGGGGGAAAACGGGAATGGGGAAATCATGGGATAAACCCGGCCTGGCTACGGAAATGGATTTGTGCCATCCATGGATCCATCCAGGGATCACAGCCATCCATCCATCCATGGAT